CTACAATATTCAATTGTGCCATCGTGTCTCTAACTTTACAATATACTGTGACTGCAGTGCGTGACCTGGCTGCTGTGAGTTTATGGTGAACAGACATGTTACCCTGGACCGTTTGGTGGACGGAGCGGAATGTCAGTCACATTTCCATCACTGTCACAACCTAATCTCTCATCATTCTGACACAAAGCTGCTGATACCAGAGCAGCACACACTGCAGGTCTCCATCACTGTCCTCACTGCAGAAATACACAGACATAGCCACACACACATCCTTGAAAACTTACACAGCTTCCATTCCTTTGTCAAATCACGCGCACACACACAAACACACACACAAACACACACACACACACACACACACACACGCACACACACGCACACACACGCACACACATCCCTCCCTCAGGCTACAAGTCCCATCACTTCTTGACTGCACAGTGCCATCCCCTCCCCAGAGTGTTCCAACTGTCCCCGACTGACCCTAAACTTATTCCAGCAACCTGCCCCTCACTTACTTACTTTCAAAACCCAACTTCTGACTACCTCTAATATACAGTACAGGAGAGTGGAGTACAACCTAATGTGTGGGTCTTTTCCTGATAATTTTTGCAAAATATTTTATTCAGAATTGTTTTATACAAGCAATCTACACATATCTGCTATAAAAAAATAAACTTTGCCAAAAATAAATTCAGCCCAAAGTGGTGGGAGTGTGGCTGTAGGTTTTTTATTCCAAAAATCAGGAGCACAAAAACCTCATCAGTTGTTGTAGACTGAGACTAAGCGATTAAACAAGTGGAATCAGTTGTGGTCCTGCTTATTTGGAATGAAAACCTGCTGCCACAACTGCTCTTTGTGGAGAAGATAGGACACCCCTGCCATAACGGTACTTACCATAGGTGGGCCTAGGTGTTAGTTGATGCGAACACAAATAATTTAACAGATTGATTTGTTCTTTGAACCAACATAAATACACACACACACACACACACACACACACTGTCTTTTGTATGTTTTTTATCAATCTGTCAATCTATTAGGTTCTTATTGTCTACTTTGGGAGGCTTAGTCGTAGCATCATGTTAAACTAACCCTGCCATGTGAAGGCTGTACTTTAGCCTGGCTAGCTGTCACTCAGAGTTGGTTTCAAAACAATGCAGTATTATAGCCCCTAAGAGAGTGATAGGAGTGAATTCTTTAACTTATACCCACAAATCAGTATATCAGTAAAAACACGTATGATGGAAAAAAAAATGTTTTTTAATGCAAAACAGTCTTCTAGGGGAATCTTGAGAAATGTCAACTAGATAGTGGTCCAAATTTGCAGAAGATGACCAAAGGGAGATTCTATTTGAATCTGTTTAACTGCATAAAATTTTACATCTTACACAGAGTCAGTTTGTGCCCCGCTCTCCTCTCTTTACTGACCTGCATTGGGACTGGGAATAACCTACTGATGCCCAAAAGTTTCAGGAAATAATGTATATGACTATTGAGATGCTAGTTTATTAGAAGCACCTACCGTGTATCTGTACTCATTGTTCATGTTATCATGTACATGCATCATATAGGTGCACTTTATAGGTTTACAATTACAAACTGCAGACCATCTGTTGCTGCACAAATTATCAGCCCTCATCTACCTTGTCCATCAGTGGAAATTGATCACCACAGGACCACCACTTACCAGATATTATGAGAGTGATGCACAACACTACCATGTCAGTGTCACTGCTGTGCTGTTAATGATCCACCAACTAAATAACTGGCAAAGAGTGGTCCTGTGGTCAGAAACTGACCACTGGTGATTAAGATAGATAATGGCAACAGTCAGTAACTGTACACCTATATAGTGCATCTATACAGTACTGTGAAAGTCTGAGATCACCCTTCAATCATTTTATTAATTATTTACACACAAGTTATTCATTTTTGAGTATCAGGAAAAAAAGAGAAAACACATTTAACAAAAAATGCACAGAAGCCTCAACAAGTAAATATCAAATTTTTCAGGATTTACTGTGTCCGCCCTTTAACACTATTACAGCTTTTTTGGGAGGTTTTTCTAATAAACTGCCAACTATGTGACAATACACCTGATTGCCTACGCCTCAAATTTATGAGCCACAGTAGCCTGTTCCACATGTCCAGACCCAACACAACACCAGTCCCCCTTCACACTAAACCTATAGCCTCTCTGGGACTCAGACACCGAATCTGCAGTCCCCTCATATGCCGCTCCCGTCTCTAGTGGGAGATGCTCGACTGCCCACACACACAGCAAATGCCAGCTCAACATCTGAGCAGCAATAACAACACCCAGCTCTTTCTAGAGGAATGCAAATAACAGGATGAAAGGTAATTAAGCCGACACAGTCACAGCACAGAATATATCAAATATAAGCTTTAAAGTGAGGAACGAAATGAGTGGCATGAAAATGACAAATCATAAAGTCTCCTAATAACAGCATATAAGCACAGAAATATTCAAGTTGAATAGTTTACATTAAGCTACATGTTGTCATGTACATAAATAAATATATTATTATTTCTTCCTTATCTGATTAATATAGTGGTCATCCAGTGACACACCAGCCCTGTTTGTCTGAGTCTGCTGAGATGATATAGATGCACGTGAGAGAATTCAATTTTCTCCTAAAGCTTCAGCAGACTCATGAATGACTTCAACCACTTTTATGAATACAAAAAACAAGTAAAAAATGTAAAAGAAGCAAAAGTTAGTACATGGTGTAAATATAAGAACAGTCAACCATGAAATTTCATTGGCTCAATCCAAATCATCCAAATGTACCGGGTTAAACAACCCTCAGGACAGACACTGTGGGATAAGAACAGCCGTTACTCACTGAACAGAAAAATGACTGCTACTTTGTAGAGGCCTATTTCAGACTGAATGTTTTCATCTAACATGAAAAAGTTCTGTTTGAAGTTTGAAAGTTTTCCACTTAGAACAAAAAAGAAGATAACATCTAACCAGAACAGGGTTCAAGTTCAGTGAGTGACTTGTATTAGATAAAACCGAAGTCCTACCAATGACATCATTAATCATCTCAGATTCTAATATTCAGTTCAAGCAGGATAGTTTAACTGATTAGTTACAAGTAAGCAAGCCATTTTAATCATCAGTACTCAGTGATCTTTAACCCAGCCTCTGAGCTATAGTTCAACAAAATGCAAAATATCTTCATTAGATTTCAGATGCAATCTCAACTTACAAAATGTTTTGTCAAGTTCATGAGCAACTTTCTCAACACCACATGCAAATTAAGTCAGACTTCATGAACAGAAAAAAATAGAAAAAAAAAATACATTGATACAAAACAATACATTAAAAGAGTGCTTTTAATAAATAATTCAACATGCATGCAGGTATAAAATTGAATCCTTCAGTACTTCTGTGGCCTTGTTTTCATAATGCATAGTCACTACCAGCCAGTTAAGTCTCAAATTATTTTAGTGCACAGCAACCATCATCAGACAATCTCTCATCTCACCCATACTCTGAGCTTTCCACATATACAGTACTGTGCAAAAGTCGTAGGCGCCCAAGCAAACTGTTTAAAACCATTTATCTTGGCAGGAGTTGTGTTTGCTTGCAAAAACACCATGTACTATTAAAAAATTTGCAAACAAACACGAATGTGGCAAGTACCAAGAATTTCTTGTTTTCAAAAAGTAGTCTTGTGAGCTAGTCTGAGGACCTCTGGTTTGGTTCCAGATTTCTCCTTGATGCCCCCAGCTGTCATACAGGTTTGCTCAATTACATCTGCAGCACACTTAATTTAATTTAATTAGGTGCTGATTAGATAAATCAGGCATTAGATGATAACCATAATTAATACTGGGCTGCCACGAAGAGAAGTTTATAAATAGCTAAATGGAACCTGTGACATATACAAAATCACTTCTTATGTATTAGTAGTTTTTAAATTTATTCTGTTTTTTTTTTCCTTAGCAGATCAGTGCTCACTCACCAGATAAACTGTTCATTTTCTCAGGTGCCTAAAACATTGCACAGTACTATATATATAAATATATGTACATTACCAGTCAAAAGTTTGGCCACATCTGACTAAATATGTCTTTTTGTTGTCTTAAAAGGCCCTTGCATCCTATTTTCCCCCTGAGCTCCACTGTTTGTGTAGTTTTGTGCCAAAAATAGCCATAATTCATTTTTATAAGACCATTTTCCAACTTCTCTTAATCACTTCAAATTTAACAGGTGTTTTTAACTGTGCCTTTAAGACTGATATATGTAAATGAGCTCTGCTCTGAAAAAGAATTAATTTACAAAACAAATCTTTAAATACCCCCCACACAAGTAGCTTTCAGCAACCAGCAACGTCTCAATGTATGCAGAACGTCTACAAAATGATTCAAAAAGCATCCCAAGTGGCTGCTCATGAAACTGCCTGATAGAATGTTAAGAGTATGCAAAGCTGACTACTTCGTAGAATCTAAAATAGAAGAATCTAATCTAAAAAGAAGAGATTTGATTTGTTTAATAAACAATTTGTTTTTTTTGGTCACTACATAATTTCATGTGTTGTTTCATAGTCTATGAGTATGTGTGCTCAAACTTTTGACTGGCATTGTATATGTACACACTCTGACCAGCCACTTCATTAAGTACCTCCTTGTCTCCACACTCACTGTTCATTTTATCAGCTCCACTCACCGTACAGGTGCACTTGTACAGGTGCACTAGTTGTACAATTACAGGCTATAGTGTTTTATATATATATATATATATATATATATATATATATATATATATATATATATATGTGTATGTATATAGATCTGTTTCTCTGCATACTTTGTTAGCCCCCTTTCTCTCTGTACTTCAATGGTTAGGACCCCCTTGAGACCACCACAGAGCAGGTATTATTTGGGTGGTGGATTATTCTCAGCACTGCAGTAACACTGATGTGGTGGTGGTGTGTTAGTGTGTGTTGCGCTGGTCTGAGTGGATCAGACAGAGCAGTGCTGCTGGAGTTTTTAAACACCTCAGTGTCACTGCTGGACTGAGAACTGTCCACCAGAGAATGACCAACACAAACTGAGCAGTAACAGAGCTATCGTGTCAGCGTTTGTGGGGGGTCCTGACCATTGAAAACCAGGGTAAAAGGGGGCTTACAAAGTATGCAGAGAAACAGATGGACTACAGTCTGTAACTGTAGAACTACAAAGTGCACCTGTATGGTAAACAGACCTGATAACATGGATGAAGAGTGTAGATACAAGGAGGTATATTTAATGAAGTGGTATGTAAGTCGATGTATAATACAGGTCGAAACATTTTTTAAACGGTTTCATTCAACCTCGACTTCACAATGAAAAATCTACATACACACACAAAAAGTGATTTCGTCATGCCAGTTTTCGTTGGTCTGCTTATGTAAGTGCTTGTGCTTACTTCTTTTCTCTCAACGCGACGAGGTCAATTAGATCCTGTAACCCTGGTTCACATTTTGCTGTCAGTGTATGTGCCAGGCTCAGCAGGAAGCTCTCTAATGAAGAGATGGAAGCAGAGCGTTTCCATGGTTACGGTGGCCTAGAATATCATATCGGAAATTCGGAGGCGTTGGCCGAGCTACAGGACACTCCATGTCCAGACATCTTGATCCTGTTACGTTCAAAACACTTAAAGTATGAACACTTCATAAATGACACAAAGCTAATTAACAAACAAAAAAGCCTTTTACACTATGTGTGCAAACATTCTGCAGTGTTAAGAGATGAATATACAGTTTGCCTGTAATTGAACAGATATTTGCCGGGTCAGGTTCCCATTAGCAGTGTATATTTTGTGTTTACAGTGTGAGTTAAGCCAGGGTTGGCCAAGGGAGCCAGTGGACTCCTAAAACACTTTTCCTTCATACGGCCCCTGTTGGCCACCCCTGCATTAAGGCACATAACACAGTAACATGGCTGAGGTATGTGTAGTGAACGTAGCGTGCATGTATATGTATGTGAATGTTTTTGTGCGTTGGAAGTGTTCAAACATTTCCGTTGATGCATGATTAAAGCTCTATCAGACTAAATAGGACAATATTTGAACATAAGTATTCACCAGGGAAGTCTGCTCAGATTCTTCATGCATTTCAGATGTCCTCCTGTTTCAGTTCTGTCTCAGTACTGCCCACTGGTGGTAGGGTGGGGTTACCTTGTATTTTCAATCATCGCTTACGTTGAGAGAGAAATGTGTTCAAAGAAACAACACAAAATACAAATTAAAGGTTCTCCAAAGTCCTTCACTTCAAAGAGTTCCAATTCACATAGTCACTATTAAGGGGAGATGTGCTGATCTCTAGCGTTCTGATTTCTAGTGTAAGATGATGATAAAACAGTTTATTCCATTGGCAGTATCAGATTCCAGTGCAGCTGCAGACCCATCAAAATAAGAGGCCACTTCTACACATGACACAATCTCTAGTTTGAACTTGCTATTTTATGCTGTCAATTTAATGGCGTTGAACAACTTATACTAAGAATTGAGCCTGAAGTCAACTCCATTTCAATCTATTGAAATCAGGAAAGGAGCAGTAACTCCCAGTTCAGATTACCCATACTGTACAGTTCTATCAAAATATTCCAAGTGAATTAAAGGGGCACTCCAGCCAAATGAAAAATGTGACCATTGCTACATATATTGCAAAGATGCCGGCTTGCCTTGCCAGCGGTGCCAATAGTCTTGAAAGTGAGAATTTCAGGTTTAAAGACTAGTAAAAACCTCTTCTGATGATGCCTCTTGATGGTGGAAGAAGCCCTTTTTAGGGGAAACTTGATGGTGGGCAGAAAGAAGCCAGATAGCTAACGCTACTGGTAGGAAGTAAAAAAATCATGTTTATATTTATTATTATCATTATGTTTATTACTTTTTCAGTGGTATATCAGCGAATTTCTTTATCAGTGTGCCTGGGTTTCCAAATGGTACTATGATATTTGCATAAGCATGCTGGGTATTGTAGTGAGAGAAAGAACGCCGATGGACAAAACACAAACCGAATACAAAATTGTAAATTCTGCCCAACCGACGAGGCTGACGGATGCAATGCTACAAAATTATAGATAACATGACAAATAACATATTAAATGCTAGTTTCAGGCTGGAGACCCCTTTTAAATTTGTCACTTGGACAGCCTGAACTAATATCTATATTCAATCAAACGCTGCTAGTAATTCAAGCCCTTCAATCACAAATCCTTCTCTGCACACTTTTGAGAAATCTGCACACCCAAAAGTGAAATTAAATAAATAAAATCTACTACTTGCTAGCATTACGCAAACAAGTTCATGCAAAATATTTCCCACTAGCCTTCATTCACCGTCAGTCATGTTAGCAGTTTTGACTCAATCCGCAGTGCTCTGAAGTGAAAAGGAACTGACCCTATTTCTGTTCTGCACCACTGGACTGTCAGAGTGGCCTTCAATCGCTCCTGATGAGACCAGGGCTGTACATCCTGACAGCTGAGATCACAATTCCTATGAAAAACAAAACAAAACTACAGCCATATTGTAGAATGAAAGAGGCAGCCGGAATGGTTGAAGGATGCTCAATCTCTCATTCGTCTGGAACTATGTGCTGTCTCAAACCTTTGATGCCAGTACTTAAAAGTTTCAACACAACAACGTCGTCGAAGAAATGCGCATGGTGTTAGTTCAGGATGGAGCACCTGCTGCAACAGGCTGAAATGATGCTGTGATGGACAGCTTGAAGAGCGGTCCGACCACAGGTTCTTTATTTTACAGGAGGAACAGTCTGTCAGGGAGGCCCCTCTGGGGCGCTTCTCCTTCTCATCATGCGCTTTTGGAGGTGGCAGCAGAAGGAGATGTCTGCTCCTCCCCTTCCTCTGCTTTCTTCTCATCGTCGTCTTTGAAGAAGAGGAGGGGAAACATGCCCAGGATGCAGCCGATGCTTACTCCAATGGCCTTGCCCTGCAAGCGCAACAGAACAAGCAATAAGAAGCTGTAGTGCCTGTTTGGATGTTCTAGCTGACTAATGTAGCTACTTTATAGAAATAATGCCCAAAAATGTATAACAAAGCAGACTCAAATTTGGCAATTTGTGTATGTGGAGCATAGGAAAATGTAAGTTAAGGCTAATGAATAAGCTTCACTGCAAGTGTTACCACTGAAGAAGAAATAACTTACTGTGCACTCACTGTCCACTTTATTAGAAACACCTGCCCTGTTCTTCCATTCACTGTTCATTAAATGACCTATAGATCCACTAGATATGTGTATCATTACAGAGCGTTGCCCATTTGTTGCTGAACAATTTGTCAGACCCCATGCACCCCATTCATTTTTGGTCTGTTTTCAGTGATGGGTATAATGTGGTACAAAATAACATAAGCTTTCCCTTGAGGTTCAAGAAGTAATAAGCAATTTGTAATGGATTACGTTTTTTATTTCACTACCCTGACAATGCCAGTTTCTGACAACAGTGTCTTTGTTGACCAAATGTTATTTGGGTGGTGGACCATTCTTAACACAGCAGTGACTGTGACACTAGCATAGGTTGAGAGTGGTTCACCCAAAAATATTGAGCCAAGAGCAGCTCTTGGTGAAGGACTAGAGGATAACAGAGGTTGAGATACAGTCTCAAATGCTGCATTTACATTACAGAACAGGGAAATAATTTTCATTCCACCTCCCACTGATTTCTATGGAGGCAAGTGGTAGTTGTATGTGAAGGACTATATGAGTAGCAGCAGCATATAACAGGGGAGAAGAGCGATAAAAAGTCGAGATTTTCTCAACTTTTTATGCAAATGAAAAGGGAGTTTCACCAGACAACGGCCTATCAGATTATTATGCCATGCATTTTGCCACAAGTCATGTCCAAATACAAACCACAAGATGAAATCAACTTGAGGAAGAAGGTTTTTACATTAGATCAAAAGTTTAATAAAAATGAGACATTTTCTCATCTGCATTTCATCTGAATGCAGAACTATACTAAAACTAGAATAAAACTTGCTTGCAATTCAGCAACACACCTAGTACATGGCCAAATATTGATTTAAGTAAACGTTTCTCTATGCTGTAATGTAAATGCAGTGTAACCAGTCACCAGCTACATGGAGACACAAGGTAGGGGTTTCTAATAAAGTCATGGCGAGTTCAGACTGCAGTGGTTTCAATGGTACTGAATTGTTAGCATCTAGCCAGTGGTCTCAGCAAAATATGCTGCCAGAATTCAACAGTAATTAACTTAAAACTATTTTGTCCACTGAAGAGTGATGAAAGTTTATGCAGCAAATCAATGCAGATTTATTTATGGGGGTATAAAAGTACTATGGATTATCAGGAAGTTCAGGATGACAGACTGGTGACAATCAAAAAGAACATGGTTCGTGTTGCTTCATGGATCTGCAGAACTCTAGTAATGTTATCCATCAGAGCAGGCCTGCAAATCCATCCAGACTGACTGCAAGCTTATCAGCTTCTTACACAATAAAAAAGGAGTTCTGATATAACCCAGCTTCACCCCCAAGAACCCATCTTCATCAACTATATGTCAACAATAAGAAAAAAAAAAAATCAGAAAAATGAATTTGGGCTGTCAGAGTTGTGGCCATCACACAGTGACCTTTTCGATTTCAAACACAGCATTTGGAGCCAAACGTTCAATTAGAATTTCACACCCTGGTGAGCTTATCATGCTGGACATCATTCAATTTCCTGCTAATAAATTATTGTGATGTCGGGAACGTATTTGAAGCTATTCTTTCTCAGGCAGTCTCTGTTGGCAGCTCAGCAAAATACAGCATTTTTTCAGCAGTACTTGCCATCATCACCTCCTCTAGGGACGGCACAGTGAGTTCTCATAATCATTGTTTATGCTGCAGAGATGCACAACACCGCATCTGACACTATTATCCAAGAAGCACAAAGAAGAGTTGTACGGTATGTGATACTGGCTGGTGGAAATAGAAGCTCAAAATTCAGAAATATGTCCTTTCCTTCTGCAGTTTATCTTCATTTAAGGGGTAAATATTCTGCATTTTTCTTAACACTTGCGAACTGAAGACATGGAATGGAATTTAAAAATGAATATCAGCTTAAAGTGCAGACTTTCAGCTTTGGTGTACGAATTACAACCATTTTCATACATAGCCCTCTCATTTTTAGGAGCTCAAAAGTAACTGGACAGTTGGCTGTTTAGCTGTTCCATGGCCTGGTATGTGTTATCCCCTCATTACTGCACTTATAAGGAAGCACATAAAAGCTCTACAGTTGACTTCAAGTGTGGCATTTGCATGTGGAATCTGTTGCTGTTAGCTCTTAATATGAAGTCCAAAGAGCTGTCACTGCCAATGAAGCAAGCTGTCATTAGACTGAAAAATGAAAACTTCAGACAAAGAGTAAAAACATTAGCTGTGACCAAATACAATTTGGTACAGTTTCAAAAAAGAAAGAACACACTGATGAGCTCAGAAACACCAAAACGAAACAACTGTGGGGGTGACAGAAGAATTCCTTCCCTGGTGAAGAAAAACCCCTTCACAGCAGTTGGCCAGATCGAGAACACCTTCCAGGAGGTCAACAATCAAGAGGAGATTTCACCACAGTAAACAAAGAGGGCTTACCACAAGATGTAAACCACTGGTAAGCCTCAAAAACAAGAAGAACAGACTAGAGTTTTCCCCCCAAAAAAATTAATAAATAAAAAAGCCTGTACAGTTCTGGAACAACATCTTATGGACAGATGAGACAAACATCAACTTGGACCAGAATGATGGGAAAAGAAGAGTATGGAGAAGGGAAGGAACGGTTCATGACTGAAAAAATACCACATCTGTCAAGCATGGCGGAGGTAGTGTTACGGCGTGGGTATGTATGGCTGCCAGCTGAACTGATTCCTTTGTATGTATTGATGATGTGACTTCTGACAAAAGTAGCAGGATGAATTCTGAAGTGTATAGGGCTATATTATCTGCTCAGCCAAATGCTTCAAAACTCATTGGACAGTGCTTTACAGTGCAGATGGATGATGAACTAAAGCATACTGCAAAAGCAACCCTGGCCAAGACAATCCCTGGACCTGAATCTGATCAAGCATGCATTCCACTTACTTAAGGTAAAACTGAAGGTAAAACGCTCTAAGAACAAGCATGAACTGATGATAGCAGCAGTAAAGGCCTGGCAGAGCATCACCAGGGAAGAAACCCGGTGTCTCGTGATGTCTATGGGTTCCCTTTGGACTGCAAAGGATTTGCAACCAACTATTAACCCTTAAATGTCCAGGGCCCAAAAGCAGGCCCAAAGTTTTATTACACGTTTCTATAACATAAAAGTAGCTCAACCAGTTTGCACTGACATCCCTTAGTTACTGAATAATAAGCCTTGGTATGTAATAAGCCTAGGATTTTAAGGGGCTAAAAATGACAATTTATGATTATGTTGGTTTGTCCCATTTTTGGGCTATGTATAAAAATGGCTGTATTTTTTACACCATACTCCTGATTTGGAAATTAAAGCTGAAAGTCTGGGCTTTGTGCTCATACTCATTATTTAATGTCAACTTCAATATGTGGTAGACAGCTAAAATAACTTTGTGTCCAACTATTTATTGACCTGACTGTGTGTAAAAAAAAATAATTACTGACTTGTGCTATGACTTATTTAAAAAGCAGTCTGGGCTGAAATGTCCAGAACAAACTGTTAAGTCTGAAATCCTCAGGGTTGTTGGACTCCGTTCAGATGTCTGGATGCTTTGGAAGGCTGAAGTGATATGCTGGCTTTCCAACAGCCAGAAAAACCCTGATGTTTCTCAAATAACCCTGCTACACACTGTCTGCAAAAACAACAAAGTCTACCACTTTAATGTGAATAAACAGTCTAAACTGTTGTTGACTTAATGGACAGTCTTAAAAATGTTGTGACATCACAACAACAATGAATTCAAAATAGGCTTTTTTTTACAGCTTATTTTTCATATATGGACAGTATGACCTGGAAATGAATGGTACATTTTGAAATGACATTCAGCAATGGTTACTTACTACACTAAACTATGGTTATGGGCTTGTTCTTCAGACAAAGCAAGAAAACTTGCTCTGGTCATTATTTCAAAACCAGAGTGTCTGACTTTCTCCACATTGAGGAGCAAAGAGAGGAGAGAGGAGAGACAGACGTGCTGAACGATGAGGAAGGAAGGCCTTGATTAAGTAAGGCAAAGAAAGGCAAACTGAGCATGAGCAGTAGAAAAAGTAGTGTCAGACAGACACAGGGAGAAAGACAGTGAGTGAGACAGTGATTAATTACTCACGGTATGAGAGCTGACTCTGGTTTGCCACATATCAGCTTGTTTGGGACTCAAGTCTGGAATCTGCATTCCAAGCCTGCAGGCCAGAGCTTCCACATAACCTGCAAGACTACAGAGACACGAAATATTTGTTTTCAATTAAAGTGCACATTACTGTAGGTCAACATTACTTTGCCTACACCCAAACTTAAAGAAATGGTGAAAAATCAAATCTACATCATTTTCCACCCACCTCAGATGAAGTTGTTCAGTCAAGACATGTTTGGTGTCCTAATGTTGTACGTGACTGTTTACATGTACAACACCAGTCTTTTCTGTAACTGCAGCCATTTTTTGCATTACTTTTTGCAGGTGAAGGGAAGTCAGCATTCAGTGCAATACCTATTGTCTAAAGTAGCTATCTGCTGTATTCAGCTCCAGAGTGAAGTTCTGATCATTTATATAGTTCACAGTAAATCATACATCAACAAGTCTGCATAACCTTAATGAAGAGCTGGATGACTCAACTTGAGGGAACAGGAGTTTGCCTTCAAGTGCTAAACTAAAGAAGCAAAATTTGGACACCAAACACATGTTGGCTGTTTAACTACATCAAATACAAGAGAAAAACTGCATAAAACTTTTGTTTTTATTTAATGTACTTCCATATATCCACTTCAAATTTACACACATAATGTCTTCTGAGTTTGTACATTAAAATGTGAAAGTATGTATTCATAAGCATAAACAAAGATATGTTAGGAGGGCGCCTATGTTGGATTCGCAGTTTCAAAATCCTCCAAAAATTTCAAATGGAATTCAAGTCAGGAGATTGGCCAGGTCATACAAGCAACATCACTTTTCAGTAAGCAGTCTTGATTTATTTTGGCTGTATGTGTGGGGAGTTTGTCTTGTTTTGTTCATCTGCTCCCCAGATTCACTTTCTTGGGAGATTAAATTAAATTCTCCTCTGATGTCCTGGTACATCGCTCCACTCATTGTTTTTTGTATGTTTTACAAATATGTATATGTATACTTTTTTCTCTATCAATTTAGTTTTTTAAACATCTTTATTTATGCTTAAGATTACATATATTTTTGTTCACATTTACAAATACTAAGTCAAAAGATACTATGTGTGTAAATGTGAAGTAGATATATGTGCTGTAAGTATATTAAAAACCACAAACAAAGGTGTCTGAACACTTTCTCCTTACTCTAAACCTAACACTGTTTAGATTTCCAAATAAAAGCATGTTTTTGGTATTTTTTTTGTAAAATTCTCAGGTTTAAAACACATTTTCATTTTAATTATAGACTCTAACCATCCACAGAGTGTCCCTTAGAGATGTAAACAAACAAAACAAACTTTCACAAAAACCTGTCCATGCAGCAGAAGAAAAACATTTCTGTGAAACTTCAAGAAACTGATAACAATCAACAATTTCTAGGCAGTCAAGTGGATTTCCAGCACTACCCATCTTTGGGAACAGAGAAAAATAAGTCTGCCAAAGTCACTCAAAACTGTCAGCATTATGAGATAGATTTAAGATGCTCTCACTCAAACTTCTGCCCTCTGTTATTTTCCCTAAACCAATCATTTTGTCCCACAGAGGGAATGCTTTGATTCCAGATGCCATGGTGGAACTAATGACAGCTTGAATTGAGACAACAATGGCAGATATATTGAGCAAATTAATAAAATCAACAGAAGACTAATGAGAAAAATCACTGCCCTTCTTTCTGCTAAACAAATCACCCAGCACTTCAGCTTTACTTTCAATAGCATTACTGATATCACTGCATCCACAGATTGCCACAAGGCAGAAAAGAAGCCTATGTGTCTACATCAGTGTTTCTCAGCCCTGGTTCTGGAGGCCCACTGCTCTGCACATTTTAGTGCTTTTCCTGCTTTAACACACCCACTTTAACCCAACAATGGGCTGGAAATGAGCTGATTAGTTTATCCAAGTGTGCTGGGAGCAGGAAAAACATAAAGCAGTGCACGAAAGTGGGCCTCCAGGACCAGGTTTGGGAAACACTGATCTACATCGAGTAAAGACAAAAAATGGACGAGGCTATGGAAATTCAGACTTCAAGGTGGCTGCTACTACTGATCCAGCTATGCAATGTATTCTGCCTTTTTACAGATAATAGTATTTATACAGTGTAGGGGTGGGCAATACTTTAAGACACTGTCAGAGCACATGTTGAGTATCACAATCTTTATTTTTTTCCAGAGATTAAAAAAGGACCCAGTAGTGCCAAATTTGAAATACACTACCAAAAACTAAGAATGCTGTCATTTTAATCAATGTTTTACATACTGCATGGATCGAAATCCATTTAAACCAGCCTAATTATGCTCTTTATCTCTATAAAAAATCTTGGTAAATGGACATCTTAAATCTAGTCAATATATAAAATATTTCTCATTTTCCCAACTCAGTACAGTTTGCATGATGCTTATTGGTGGGCTATAAGCTTCCTACATTAGCTACATCATTCCTACATCCCAGGTAGCACCTCATACTGGGAATGTGCCCTTCAACATTCTGTTTCACATGCTACTATACAAAATTGAAAAACACTCATCAAAAAAGGAAAATCTCTGCAAACAATTATTTCTACTCCCACAGCTTCAGCTCCTTACATCAAACAAGCTCTTCTGCACTGGACTGGTGAACCTTTCTCAGTGCCATTTCATCACAGCCAAATAACATCTCATTACACTTCCTATCAGCTTTTCCAGCGGGAGCTCTGAAAACACTGGCAGCTCCCAGCAACCAAATATTCATCCATCATCTGTGTGCAGATGGGTCGCTCCGTAAGGAGCTGCAACGGGAGAAAATGAACGGTCCTGGTGGTAAACAGCAGACTGGGTCATGCTGTAGGCCTCCCGGGCCTGTAATGTTTCAGAGTTAGCGATGGTGCTCGGTGCTCGCACAAAGATGGCTGGGTAAGAGTGATGGATCGTGGAGCTCTGGGTGAGAAGCGGCTGCTGTGGCACACTAACAGCAGGCTGTACAGGTGGCAGGGTCAACCGAGAGCTGTCGGCTCACTCGCAATGAGAGACGCTGATGTACTGCATCTGCAAACTAGGTTCTCCTGAGGAGGTTACTACCTCTAAAGCAAACAACCACATCAGGCAGTACAGCGTTACTACTACAGAAAATAATCCAAACTTACTGTCATTACGTAGAGGTGCATTAAGCTATTTGTTGTTTCTTTACTTATTAGTACAAATAACCTGGAATTTATATCAATTAGCCAGAATATTATGACCACTCACAGATCAGCGAATAATTGTCTATTACAACGCAAGATCTAGGATATTTTAGACGCTAAGCGTACAGTCGGTTCCCATAGTTGACGTGTTAGATGTGGGAGAAATGGACAGTGTGAAGACCTGAGTAACTTTAGCAAGGGCCAAAATGTTATGGTCAGATGCCTAGGTCAGAGCATCTTTGAAACAGCAAAGAAGCATACGGGGCTGTGTAGCTGCAGACTGGTCAGAGTGCCCATGCTAACCCCGTCCATGCTCGAAAGTGCCTACAATGGGCATGCAAGTGCCTGAACTGGACCTGAAGCAATGGAAAAAGGTTGCCTGGTCCAGTAAGTCCGTTTTTTTTTTCACATCACACGGACGGCTAGGTATGTGATGGCCTGGGGAAGTGATGGCACCAGGATGCACTGTAGGAAGAACACAAGCTGGTGGAGGGAGGCTGATGATCTAGGTAATGTTCTGTTGGAAAACCCTGGGTCCAAGCATTCATGTGGATGTCGGTTTGACACGTGCTACCTACCTACACATCACTGTGGACCAGGTATACCCTTTCATGGCAATGATATTCCCCGATCGCAGTGGTCTACTTCAGTAAAATAACGAGCCCTACCACACTGCACACTTTGTTCAGGAATGGCTTGAGTAACGTCAAAGAGTTCAATGTGTTGCTCCGGCTTACAAATTCCCCAGATTTCAATCCATTTGGGATGCGTCTGTGGGATGCGCTGGCTCCACCTCGCAACTTACAGGACTTAAAGGATCTGCGGATAACGTCTTGGTGCCAGGGCACTTTCGGAAGTCTTCTAGAGTCCATGTCTTAGTGGGTCAGAGCTGTTTTGGTGGCACATGGAGGACCAACAGCATATTAGGCTGGTGTTGTGACTCATCAGTACATGTATAATATACCAAAAAAAAGTTTTAGCAATAGCATCAGCACAAGTGCATTATGTGGCTGAGACAGCCCTTTTGGAAAACAGCACTATAGAATGGAGGTCTTGTCTGTGTCTACACTGAACAGGTATATAAATGTAATACCCATAAAGTGTTAAACTGTCTGAATGGCTGACTACATAATTACATAACAAGTATTTGGAGAGAACTTGACTAGGACGATTAGACTGAATAAGTAGAATGCAACAGTAGAAAAAAAGTGAAGTCATGATAGTCCTTGGTAATGCTAGCAAACTCTAGATGAACTCTGCTGAGCACAATCAATTCTACGGGCTGTGCTTTGTATTAACAGTTGGGAATAGAACGGCCTAATATCTGATTCCTAAAAACAAGTTATTCTACACCTTCATTATGCTCCAGACATTTCTCTGTATCTAGATCTACTTTCAGCAGAATGCAAGACACTTTCCAACTGTACACTTCATGGAAAGCAAGTTCACTTTCCTTGCTTTCAGATTAAGCAATGCATTTTGCTCATAGGCTGGTTTATAGCTTTTGCACATACAGATTTGCATAAGATATGCATTGGATTTATTGTAAGAAACAGAATTTGTATGCAGGTGGTGAGAACACATAGTTATTTGCATGTTTTGAACTGTTACAGGCCAGCTGAATTTAAGCAATTAAATATTAAATATAGCATTGTACATTGTTTGAAAAAAGCTTTCAGGAACATTCAGCCAACAAACTATAGGTCGATAGTGGAAACTGAAATAAGCTGTGGGTTAATATATAGAAATGCAGTCCTGTGTTAGATGTAGACCCTTTGGCCTCTGACCTACTCGGTTCACGGCTCGAGATGATGTGTGTAATGAGGCCCGTTGGCAAAGCTGGGAAATTGCTGAGGGTCATACAACCACCAAGCTAATACATCAGGCATTTATACCAGCAAACCGAGCAGCTTCATCATAGCACAAAACAATCTTTTCTAGAATACAGATCATTAACTACGTAATAACAGGCTGTCTGTGGCAGACGACGATGATCACAGATACTGAGTGGGGCAAAAACATACAAAATACAAAACATAAAATTGGTAATCGGCCCATGTAAAAGTGCTGGAAAAGTGCTAACGTGCTTCATTATGAGCGGTGAAAAAAAATGACTAATCGAAATTGGACAAAAAATTGGCCATCAGTCAATTTGGTTGAAAAGACATTGGAATCAGCCATAAAAATTCATTGGCCACTCCCTTATATTAATCAGATCAGATAAGCTTCATCCTAGCTTCTATCTTACTTGCATGCATTGGCCATTCACACATACACAGCTTTTGTGCTGTGAAACAGGAAGTCAGTTCGTAATTTCTGCACAGCACAATCAATCTGTGATGTGCATTTGGTAAAGCAGACCATGTTACAAGCACACACAGAAAAACAAGTGTTTTTGTTTCATAATGGCCCTTAATTTTAGAATCCATGTTTCAGCTTTTTTCCATTAGTTTCACTGGACACAAGAAAAGGTTTTTTCACAGGCTATGCGAAAAATTCGAGCCTGTTAATGCGGACGTGGAAATGGAAAGCAAGGTGATCCATGTTGCTTGTGTCACACATGGGCAGAATGTTTGAAACAGGCCATGTGCTAACAGCAGGGAATTGTGAGGCTTATTTTCCTATGGGGCCCTTGCCACACCCTAATCAACACGCCTACATAATCAACACTGAAGAGAAATGTTGGTTTCCAAAGAACATACATAAGATCATTTAACATAAACAACCTAAATTAATAAATTAATGATCACAAGCCGCCAAAACAGCTTCAATGAGCCTTAGTACAGCTTATACAAGTCTCTTGGACTGTACTGGATCAATGAAACACTATTCTTCCAAAAGCTATTCCCTTAATCAGTGTTTTGATAATGGTAGTGGAGAGTTCTGTCTAACATACTAATCCAAAATCTCAGATAAATGTTCAATTAAGTTGAGATCTGGTTACTCTGAAGGCCATAGTCTAGCCACAGATCAAGTGGTGAGATTGAACATTATTCTTCCAAAAGCTATTCCCTCAATCAGTGTTTTGATGGTGGTGGTGGAGAGTGTCACATCAATCCAAAACCCTCCCAATGGTGTTCAACTGGGTTGAGATCTGGTAACTGTGAAGGCCATAGTTATGCAATACATCAACTGGGCCTGCTCAGCATTTTTATACATGCCATAGAGCATGGTATGATGTCCATTACCTAATTGTATAATGCAGTACACGTCTGGAAACATGCTCTCGTCATGTTTCTCCACCCATTTATTTGGGTTTTTCTTTTAATTGTGCGTTTATGCAAGTCATAAAGACGATGGTAGATGCAGTTGGGTGTTAAACTGGAATTTAGGAGGTGGGGGAGCTTTTATCACATGTACAAAGTGGGAACAATTTATAATTAGTTTATTTATAGATCAAAAAAACATTAAAAAGGCAAGAGTAACTTTACTTTTCACTCAAAAAAATGGACTGAGACTGTTCAAAGCTGCACATTTGAGAGATCAGTGGTGATCGCAGATCCCTCAGCAGCTTCATTTTAACACAGTGGGGGGAACACTGCACAAAAGGTGTGCCTCCAGAGACCTCTGAAGGGTTCTGAGAGACACACCTTTTGTGCAGTGTTCACCCTTATTGGCTCACTCGGTCACTCTCCTCCACCGCGTGAGCCAATAAGGGTGATTAAGCAGCAACGTGAGTGTCTTCCTGAGGGAGTGAGAGAGTGGGTGAGGGAGAAAAAGAGAGAGAGGGAGTGAGTAAGTGCTTGCAGGAGAGAAAAGTCACTTGGGGTAATTGCAGCACAGCCTACTAAGACTCTCAGTCAGCCCTGTAGCCCAAATGCTGAAGGACAGTGATGGGTTAAGTGATATTTAGATGTAACTGTGGTGTGCTGGTGAGCAGGCTGGATGTTTGTTTTTTAATGATTCACTGCCCAATTCAGAGAGCGAGGAGAGAGACAGACGGAGTTGGAGAGAGAGGAGACAGTCAAACATCTGGGATAGAAGTTTACTGGGGCATGACACTGAGCAATTATCAGGCCGAATCACGTGTAGATGAACAGAAAAAGTCGCATAAATTTAAAAATTCATATGCTCCTGATATAAGGAGCTGGGTGTTTGTACACTGCAACACTGTAACTGATATACAGTAACAGTAAAAAAAATAAATAGATGCACGTCAATGCCAGTAACAGAATCCTCTTCAGTGAGTCCTCTAAAATGCAAAATAGGTGAAATGTTTACATTTTTAAGTATTGTCATCATTTTTACACTTTGTGACATACTGTATTACCATCATACCACCCAAGCCTAATAACCACTTTGTACAAAGACCTGCTGCTGTTTTGTCTGATGTCTGAAACTTGATGCTGTGGTCTGAGGATGTCTTAAAATGCACACTGTAACACGGGCAGCATTTTGTACAGCTGTGATATCTGCCTGCAGTAACAAGCACTTTCAATCAGCCGAGTATACAGTCTCTTCTATGCTAGGTGCAATGAGTATGATATTGCTGTAGGATGTCACATCAGAAAAAAACATGTTTACAAGCTCAATTATGTTCACTTGTGGGAATACTAGTGTCTTGCTTTGTTTTGCAGTGGTTTTTAAACCGACGGTAAATGAGTTTGGGGGCTGTTACCATAGTAATTCAGGCACAGGCCTAGACACACCTACATCCTGTTCTTACAATATCCTACATTTAAATATAACACTTAAGACATCAACTCTATTAAGTAAAGATATATGATATGATACACTATTACATAACACATAAATATGAAATGAGCCAAAAATTAAACAGATCAAATCTATCTTCTAATTTAATTCAGGCAGAGGCATAAACAGCAGTGTTTGCCTTAGGAACAAATTTCAAGCCTTTACGCATTCGCCTTTAGATTAAAATATCTTTAAAATTACTAAAATCATACATTCCATTAGGTATATTCAAACATTTGACTGGTACTATAACCTTCTCTCTCCTTTTAAGCACCCTCCAACCTAAATACAATAGAGCACAACCCAGAGAAGCCCAGCAGAGCTCTAGAGAGCAATTCCCCTGGCAGCTCATCCAGTCTGCCAGTCTGACCACTGATATTTCTTAGAAATGAATTCAGAGTCGCTTTAAAGTGAAATTAAAATACTAGTCCAAAGATGACAAGTGGGCCTAGTCTTGATCAGTGGTACTATTTTGCAGATTTTCTTATAAATTAGTTTTTGCTGTATAGAATCACACTTTGTGCAGGCCAGGTCCACTCAGGACAATTTTACTTAAACTTGCATTTCTGAGAATTTTTATTATTTTTTTATTATTCTAGTATCCTGATGCCAGTTTTTTGTCCCTCTCCATGTCAGTGCTTACAGACCTGCATGTATCCATGAAGCCTCTGCGTAAAACATCTGTTTCTGTAACCACTTGAAGATGTTGCTGACCTGACATTAGTGCCTCTTTGTGAGGACTAGACTAGTCTTCGCAACTGCCATCGTAATTCACTGTGAAAGTAGCTCCATCTGGCTTCCAGCCGCACTTATCAGCATTTCCGACTATTTACCCAGCTGATAAAGACAGCTTGATGTCAAGGAAAAACTGAGATGGAGGATTTAGGAATCCCTTTAACTTTAGGTTCAAGAAAGGCTCTTACCCAAGTCCAGCCAAGTCCGATACCAGGTTACCGAGAGCAGCAGCTGCAGAGAGAGAGAGAGAGAGAGAGAATGAATGAACAATACTGAGAAAGGCCAAACTTGTTTCCAAAATAGGTCAGCATAACAGAACCAACTAGAGCATGCAAGCAGAGTATCCTTTGCTGACTATCTATAAGACTTAAGGCTAAAAGTGTCTGTCTGAGCACAAGCTCACATTTTTAACTGTAACTTGGTGATATATCATTTTACTAGTTCAGACTATGCCTATGGCTCTAGTATGAGAAGCGAATTTATGAATGAAAGAGAGGACCAAAATACTGGGAGTTCAGTTTTAAACGGGACTTCCGTTGTTTTTTTCAGAATGTCTGCATACTGCAATAGTTGAGTCGTTCAGAAAGGTATAAGGTTAAATGCTTCATTATAGAGAAACTTACTCAGATTTTCTTTACAGTGATAGTGATAGGAACCAGGGGTCACTCTGTCTACAACACAAATATAGTCATTTTTATTTACTATCCAAAACCACCAGTGAACCTACATGTTTGTATGTAATGTTCAAGAAGATAAAATAAAGATAAATATGAAAAAAATAAGTTTTCTTAGGGAACTATTTTGCCCTGCAATGTACTGCTGTAATCTGCTTGTATTTACAGGTACATTTTAGGCTACACGCTTATCTTAAAACTATCTGAAACTTTCTCTGACGTAGCTTTTAGAGGCATTAAACTCTTCAGACGTCCGGATCACCACCACTGTGAACAATTCTGACTCGCTAAGTTTTTCTAAAATGTCAAAAGGCTCTAAAATACACTTCACACTGAACCACTCTGAATGACTTCTGAATGTTCACATTTTATTGGATTAACTATGCAGATATTTAGAAAACTTGGTGGAATTCCCCTTTAAGCTCTGAACGCCAACGACATCCATCTGCTGTAGTGGGCAGATGTAATGTAGAACTGTGCCTGGAATTTAATGTTTAAAGTGGAATTTGAAGCATGTTGACCTCAAATGGTCATAAAGTTATTAAGTCTAAATGTAACAGGGTGCAAGTGTTCTGCTGGTTAACAGGACAATTCTCAACACGTCAATAAATATTATATCCCAGACAAACACACGAGGATGTGCATCTCAGACTCCCATTCGTCTTCATTAGAGCCTCAGTCTGGTTACGGATATCCTCTACCAAGCGTGGCAGACTGAATCATTGCCCTAGTGTGCAGGATACTGGGGCTGGGTACTGATCTACACAATCAGTCAGCAGGCATTGATCCAAGTGTCTAAGTAGCACAGCGCTATTATTTAATGGTGATGACATGCTGAATACCAGTGGATGAAATCAGCTACAGGAGAGAAGAGCTGTTGGTATCTCAGAGAACAGTAATCTTAGACAACTGGTGAAAATGCTTCTATTTAGCATTCTCTTCTTACCTAACGCTATTTTTTCATTACAAATGATACTATCAGCAATCTCAGTGAAAAGTAGAATCTTTGAAATATTTACATGAATTTCAAAATTTCTTAGTACTTCTTAGGCTATGTTCACATTATCAGGTTGAAGTAGCATAAATCCAATTTTTTGCCCTAATGTGACTCAGATCTGATGTTTTCAGGCCTGTGTGGACACGCAAATCTGATCTTTTCAAATCTGACCACATTCATATGTGGTCCTAGATTGGATACGTATCAGATTTGTGGCCATGCGACCTTAATGTAAACGCATAGATCGGAATTCATGCGCTTTTTTTTCCACTGCGCATGCGCCATAATTCAGCGTTACCATGGCAGCAGCGCCAAACAGAAGTTAAAGTCTGTAAACGGTTGAAAGCAACACATCTCACCTTTCTCACCTTCGTCTCGCTCTAATAATGAACAGCTGAGAGCTGTTCAGAGTTAATTATCTTTGCAGCGAAGGCTCGTTCTGCTCGTTAGTTTGTTTGCTGATGGTGCACTTGATGCACGTGGTTCATTCACGTGACGTTACTGAGTAGGATGTGCTCATGCAGGTCATTTCAGGACGCCAGTTTCGTTCGAATTAATGACAAATCTGAATCACTTAAACGAGTGTGAACCATCCTGTCAGAGAGATTGGATTTGAGCAAAAAATAGGATTTGAGCGATGAGTCTTGTAAAGAAGTTTTTAGAACGTAGCTTTAGTCCCCCTTTTGCTTTTAAGACAGTTGGTACAGATACTTATCACTTTGATAAGTAGATTAAATCCACCTGAGAGTCATCTGAACACAAGCTTTACAGGAAGAAAAAAAACTAAAAAAAAATCTGACCTGTTGGTACAAAGGTGTTAATATGGTCACTGTTTTTGACTAATTTCCGAATTGCTTAAATTTGAATAATGACCTAGAAATAGTGCAAACTTCTGAAACTTTCTGTTGGTTATTTGTAGTATTAAATGAAAACAATCCTTGATTTTTAAAGTGGTCTCAGACTTTTGGACCCCACTGTAAGTATACAATTACAGAGGGTAGCCCAACTGTTGATGAACAAGCTATTAGCCCATTGTACTTCATTCATCACTGGTCAGTTTCTAAGCACAGGTCCACTAACCAGATGTTATTTGGGTACTGGATGATTTTCAACACATAATAATACTAGACTTGATAACATATGCTATGTATTATCATCCAACAGCACCCCGTTGCAATCAGGAGATTAATGCTAGTAGTGTGTGTGTTTGTGTTGGGGTGGACAGTGGGGGGTAGAAGACGGGTCTCAATCAGGAAAAAAGCTGTAAATACTGACTGAGAGCCTGCTCCTTTTTGTGGCTCCTTTCTCCAATTATCTGTTTCAGCACACCAGGTTATGTAGTAACACCACACAGAAGCCTAAACCAGAGACAGTAAACAAGCTTGTTTTTCTGCTCAGAAATGCTACTGTTTTTGCTACAGGTTTAATAAATCATGCGTTTACAGACTATACAGGTGTATGCAAAAGTTTGGGGAACCCTGGTCTAATCACAACCACATTAAATAAGTACACATCCTCTACAGAGAACACACTTCTGCACATTTTAATGTACAATTACTGTTTATTTGCTGAATTTAACTGGGGAAAAAAACAGGGAAAAATACAGTGGCCTGTGTGAAAGTTAAGAAACATGCTATATTTTGTTTTTTTCCCTAATACATTAAACTGTGCAATTAAAATTTTATTTTTCACATTTATTTTTTTCCAATATGTTAATACATTAAACTGTGCATTAAAATCTGCAGAACATCTTTAAGTATGCTCCCTGTAGAGAATGTGTAACTTATTTAAACCTAGAAAACTGCTTCTTGTTTAAATATTAAAACAGCTAAAGCTCATCCTATAAAATCACACTACCGGTTACTGTTACTATAGCTTTCCTTTCGATACTGTAGTTTATTGCTATTATTATAAGGCTGTTAATAACAGTAATAAGCTTTGCCTTTTTGTATTTTTACTAACTTTTATATAACCACAACTTTAAAGTCTTTTAAACCCTTATTAATATTTCACGAGGGAAAGTGGTCCCTGCAGTCTTTTTTTATATGTTTAACAAGTATAACCATGGTGCTGCCATGTGCTGCTACAGACTGTTCAGAAGCCCCACACAACATACGTAGACATGTGTGAGCTTATGAACATGGACACATTGAAAGAAAATATACTAAAAGAAAATGAAGATTATGAAACAAGTCTGATTACTTTTGTACTTCTGGAATCTTAAAGCTACAGACAGTGTGATTTCTGAGATTTAAATGGCCAAAATTGATTTGGAGTTGCTATAGCTGGAATCTATTGGCGATTTACAATACTACTGCCAATCAGCTGAAGCCTCAACGAATACCTGAAATGGCACAGTGTGTTGTGCTGGTGTGAGTGTATTAGACAAAGTGGTTGCTGGAGTGGACACACCAGTGTCCCTGCTAGGTTGAGAGTGGTCCACCACTCAAAAATATCCAGCCAAGGACAGCTCTGTGGTCAGAAACTGACCATTGATGTAGGACCACAGGATGACTAGAATACAACTGTACATCAACAGATGATCTACAGTCTCTAAGTGTGCCAGCAAGATAGAGGTACACCCTACAAGGTAGGGATTTCTAATAAAGTGGATGCTGATTGCATTTGTTTTTATGTATGTTTTTCCTTTAAAAGAGGTTTAGATCCTCAGTGGGAATTTTCAGGGTAAAAACAGTCCCAAAGGTTTTGCACTGGGAACAAATTACGTGGCTTTCTCTGATTCACTGAAGCCGCAAACTCATATCAGATGGCGAACAATCAAACTCTGATCTCAAAGGAAACCACGCAAAGCTGCTTTATCTCATTACACTGTGACAGTTTACTTTAAACAAATGTAACAAGGGGGGCCTCAATAACGTCCTGCATTAGAGACGAAAAGAGAATGAGGAAGAGAGACAAAGAGAGGGAGAAACAGAAAGTGAAGTAGAGAGGGAAAACAGAAAAAGGACGGGGAGGAAAAAGGAAGAGCAGAGGCTTTCTGGCACAGGTCCAAGTTGAGTGTGTTTGACACACACCACACAACGTCAAAGGCACATAAAAAGTCAAACGCCACATCCATCAGGCTGAGAAATGAGTAGCGTAAAACCGAAGGCAGCAGGTTTGAGTAATCTCGATTTGCAGTTTTCACAGTGAGCGTCTGAAAAAACAGGTCATTCATTGTGAAATCTGTCATAAAATAAGACATCCTTCTGCAAAATAAGCGCTGGAGATTCCAGGCATTGGCTACAATACGGCTATCTAATATCAGGTGAAGGTTGGCACCAGGGCTGCTATGATTGGTCGAGAAATTTGACTATATTATTTATATAAAAAGGGCCATGTTCTGTTGTCGTTGTGCTACTTACTATTACTAAATAATGTTAATGTGGGTCAATTGCATCATATTACATGTGTTGTGTTTGGTTGTTTCTGACTGGTTAACTCATCTACAGGCAATTCACAAGCCCCATGTTATTAGGTTCCCCACTTAAAACATCTGACGGCACAAATGAAGATAAGAAAGAAAGACCACCAAAGTGCATTACAATGTACAGCATGTA